ACTATATAATATAATATAAAACAATATAAACTATAATACTTTCCATGGTATTCTTTGGGAAAGAATCAGAAGTCACATGATGCCAAATACAGTACACAAGGTGATGAGAACATACCATAATATTTTTGACAGAAATTGCCATCCTAGAAGTGATGTGTGACACAGAAAGTTGTCATGATGGAAGATGAAACTGTTTGCCCATTTCCCAGGCCATTTTCTAGGCACATAATTTCTCAAACACCCTAATAAGCTCTTATAATATTAAGAGTTCACTGTAATGTTCCTGAGGACAAACTCAGGTTGCACAATTCCTCTGAGGTCAATAAACACAATCAACATCACCTGATTTTGGACCTTGATTGACACGCTTTTTTCACATGAAAACTGGGTGATTTCCACTGAGAACTATAAACCTTGGTCTTAGGATCATAACTAAGTTTTATCTCCCATGATGACATTTCTTAAAAAGCTGTAATGTGAAGCAGCACAACTGCACAACTCCAATTAAATTGACAAGCACTGTTGCTTTTGACAATAAAAACTTATGGGGCCAGGGATTTAGCTCAGTGGTTTCACCACCTGCTGCACAAGTGTAAGGACCTAGTTCGATCCCCGGTACCAAAAAAAAAAAAAAATTATGGAATAAATTTCACACTCACTTGCCTCATGTACAAAAGCTTTGAAGGGAACTATAAGAGATATTCAGATCCTCAGAAACTTCCCTAATAGTCAACTGTTTGATCTAATCATTTTACTTACACTTTGGATATTCTCTTGGGTTTTTGATGTTGTCTGATCCCTCACCTTCAGCTGATTTATAACCATTATAAAATCACTCAAACCATCTTCATGGTCACTGCAGCACTATCATAAATTAATTTTAATATTTCATGTGTCTCTAGCATTTTTGCAGTTTGAAACAAATTTAATGGTAATGCATTATTTGTGATCCATGATTTGTAGCACACTTTTTTTGTACTGTGGATCGAACTCTGGTCCTTGCGCTTGCGAAGGAGGCAGTGGCACCATTGAGCTAAATCCCCACCCCTGTTATACACTTTAAAACACACCTTCTCTCTCAACCATAGCTCGCAACTCACTGAATGCATAAAACTCAATGAAACTTGTCACACACTAAGGTTCTGCGCCACACTTCTAATCTTGTTTTTTTCTTTTATCCCCAGTATACGGGATTGAACTCAGGACCTTGTGAGGCAGGTGCGGCACCACTGAGCTAAATCCCTGGCCACACTTCTAATCTTAAAGATCCCTGCCTGTTAGATGGCATGCTGCAGCAGCACTGACCATATTTTTTTAATCACATTACCTGACATGGTAGGTATCATAAGAATATACCATTAGCTGTTTTTTGCTTTCTTATATCATTATCAATTTTTAACCAATGTTGCTGGGCCAAACAGATATTTATTTTTTAACAGTAGTAACATTTGGTCCTTATATCATATTACATAAAAACATTCACAGATTTAAAAGCAAAAACTAATTTTCAAAGAAAGCTTCATGACTTTATTATTAAGAAAGTGCTTTCACATTTATTTTTTAAACCATAAATTCTAAAGAGAAAAGTAATAAAACTTCATTAGAACCAGGGGCTCCAGGTATAACTCAGTGGTAGAATGCTTGCCCAGAAATACATTCCCCAGCAGCACCAAAAAAAAAAAAAAAAGAATTAAGAATTTCTGTTCATGAAATATTAGGAGTCGGCAAAGGTAAGACATGGAGTGGAAAAACACGATGGCAGTGCACATTTCTAGTGAAGGGCTTGTAGTGCTGAAAATATGGGGTAGTACATATTTCTAAGGAAAAATCAGACATCCCAACAGATAAAAGAACTGCTGAGAGATTTCACAGGAGACATTCAAATGACAAAGATATGAATAGGGCTAAGGGGAAACCTCAGTGGTGGGACAGTTGCCCAGCTTGCACAATTCCCTGTGTTGGATCCCCAGAAGCAAAATAACAAAGCAAAATAAATATATGAATGTGTGTACCAATCAGTACCAACTAGAGGAGTTAAAATTAAAAACTGCAGATACTACTGCGTACTTATCAGAAAGATAAAGACAATGACAACAACAAACAGACTAATAATCACAAGTATGCTAACTGACTGGAATTGTCAAACACTACTGACAGCAGTGTAATCTGACAGTCACTTTGGAAAACGGTTTGATAGTAACTTCTCAGGCATTCTACATGAACCAGAGATTCTATTCCTAACCAGAACACAAATTTCACCAAAACTTCTACAAGAATGCTCTAACTACAAGCTAAAATAGAAAAACAGTTACCACTAGGGAGAATGGACAGAACTGCAAATAGGGAATGAAGGGGTTTGCTGGGCACTGCTAATGTCCCATTTCTTGATATAGGTAGTAGCTACATGATGATCCTTTGTAATAACTTACTGACCTTTACAGTTTTCATGTTTCTTCTGTTTTGGTTTTGCTCAGTGTAATAAAATTTATTAAATAAACACTGGTGGGGAAAAGCAAGGGAGATTATAAAAGGGCCCCAGGAAAAACTCTGTGTACTGAATATGCTAATTATGCAGACCGGGGCTTCATGGACCTGCACAATAGACAAAAAGATATCTCTTAAATATATGCAGATTAGGTCATTATACCTCAATAAAGATGTATAAAAGAAAAAGGTAGGGTGCAAAGGACGAAGTTAAAAGGAATCACTTGTAAATTGGTAAAATAAAACAGACTAAGAATTCACTAGCTAATTATCCGTCTCAATAGTTCAGAAAAGGCAAATTTTCTAAGAGTAAAAGCAAAATTTAAAGATATTGAAAACAAACATACCACAGAGTATCAGCAATGCCAAATATTGGTTCTTTTAAAAGATTAATGAAAGGGCCAGGGATTTGGGTCAGTGGTTCCACTGCCTGCCTTGCGCACAAGGTCCTGAGTTTCATTCCGGCACCAAAAAAAAAAAAGTAATGAAATTGAAAGTACTCTGGTAAATTTATAAGTTATATATTAATTATTGTATGTATATACACAGTCACACCTCTTCATGAGGATACATTCTGGAATCTTCAGATGATTCCCTCACTATGCTACTTACACAAATCTGGACAGAACAGCCTCCATAGACCTGGGCTATATGTTATGGTTACCTTTGCAATCTGAAGTCCCTAAGTGGCCGAAATGTCAGTCTGCAGAGCATGACTATGTTATAAAGCTACAACAATCAGTGTAGACCAGGCAAAGAGCTGAATAATTAAACCTCTAGGACTACAGATAGAATTCTCAAAGAGATACTTAAATGACAGAGATTGTACTGCACAAAAATAGAAAAAGATTCCCTTTGCAATGGAAGCTGCAGGGAAATTGGGGTATCTCTGGTAAAAAAAAAAAAAAAGGAGGTATTTCAAAACTGGGGTTTCTGTCCTTATTGAAAGGGCTTAGTCATACATGAGGGATTAGTTTCTCAATTATACACATTGTATGGGTAATTATAAAAGTCAGTACAAGACCATTTTTCCTCAAATTAATTTGTAGTATACCCCATCAAAATTTCAATATGCTTAATGTTTAATGGAAGGGACCAAAACAAAAACTTTCAAAATTCATCTACAAAGTTAAATATAAATATATAAGAAATCAGTCAAGAAACTTCTAAATTATAAGAGGAACAGAAGTAGCTACCACTACCTGACACTAAAATATGTCATGAAATACAATATATGGCAAAAACCAAGACACAAAAGGAATTAAACCAACATATTAATCTATATGGATATAAGAAATGGTTCCTTTGTTAAGAGCAACAAAAGGACATAATTTCAAAGATCTCAAGAATAACATTAAATGTGAATGGATCAAACAACCTAATCAAAAGGCCCATGTTGGACATGGTAGTAAATCTCAGAGATAAGAGCCCACAGCCAGAATTCGTGAGGCCATGGGTTCAGTCCCCAGCACTGAAAAATAAAAGCAGATGTTAAGGATGATACTGTTGGATAATAGTGGAAACATAGCAGAATAACTGGTTCCTAGCTTTCCCTCCATATACTGACACACTGAATAATCACCTATTCATGTTTCATCATTAACGACTGAGAAATTTCTAGATACTGCTAACCGCTAAAGATCATCCAACACCTAGATCACACTGAGGGGAAGACTGAGACCATACATACAGCACACTAGCTCTAAGGTTCCCTGGGGTTTGGATCTTTTTTTTGGTACCGGGGATCCAACTCTGGTCCTTGCCCTTGCGCAGCAGGTGACGAAATCACTAAGCTAAATCCCCAGCCCCGGGGTTTGGATCTTCACACCTATCCCAGGGAGAGGAAAGGACAAGGCACGAGCAGGTCTCAAGGCCACAAAACAAACTGGTAGCTTCAGGCGGTCATGCAAGTACTCTCACTGACATCATCTCCTGGGGCCAGGGACGAAAAGGGGTTAAAACTCAAAGGTCCCACTTTCTCCCTGGAAAGGATCTGCCAGCAAACTGTGCCAGCTGCTGCTGCCGCCCACAGCCGCTGCTGCCGCCCACACCTGCGCTTCTATCGTCCAGCCCGCATTAGGGGTTAACGGGCAAAACACTACCCCTTGGGCCCCAGACTCCAAAGCATTCCAGGACAGCTCCAGATTGACCAGTTCTCCCCGGAAGGAGTTTGTCCGTGCACGAAGTGTCCCAGCTTTGACACCTCCCACTCTAGGCACAAGTCCTAAACCCAGGGTCTAGAAGCAAGGCACAGGGCTCGCGGAAATCCCCCCAGATCACAGGACAGGCAGGGGAAGGGCTTCCGGGCCGGCGCCGCAGCCGGAGGGGGCCGAGCGCCCTGGAGTCCGCAAGACACAGCTGTCACAACCGGAGGGGAGGGGACCTGGGTGTGCAGAGGAAGAATGCGGCTGCAGACTCCAGAGCCGACCCCGGGGAGACCTGCCTGCCACAGCCGGTTTCCGCGGGTTGCGAGGCGCCTCACTTCCTGATCTCAGGACGCCCGGCCGCGCACTCACCATTTCCGGTTTCCGGGGTTTCTGCGCCCTCCCAGGAATCTTCGACCCCTGCAGGCCACCGGGCGACCGGGGATACGAGGCAGCGATCTGAACCTCTGGCCAGAGAACACCAGACCCCAAGATGGCGGGCTTCAACCACAAAGGACCGCCTAATTGTGGAAGTCCCGCCTTTCTGGCTGTGCGCCTGAGTGGACAGGTCTTATAATCCTGCTTCCGATTGGGTAGCTATGTGGGCTCCGCCTTCTTGGTCCCTGAATGACAGTAGATGCTACCAACCCATGGCTGAAGAGGAAAGAATGACAGGTTTTTGGTTGCCGCTTTTTTTTCTGTTTCTCTGATGACTGAGATTGAAGGCGGGTTATCTGGCTGAAGTTAATCTAAAGCAAAATATTCTCCATGTGGAGTGACAGGCAGCTAAATTAGATAGAAATTAATATACAGTCAGAGAGGAACTGGGCTGTCAAGGAAGTCAGCAGAAAAGAATAAAAACATCAGAATTGTTGCTGGAGGTGCCACTGAAGAAGGCCAAGCCTCAAGATAAAGATGCAAAAAGACCAGGCTTAGGTGCCTCCCTAAGGGAAAAACAGTAACTTGGAATTATACTGTAAATGGTATCACTTGGTCCAGTAAAGTCCAGATGGGCATCAGTCACTCGGGTGGGTGACCACAGGATCTGGACCCATCCCTTCTCCAAAATGCCTTTGTTCTTTCCACGTGACCTGCTTCCCTCTTGGACCGATATTAGCTAAGCAGCTATACTTATAATCCTATAGGTTGGCTGTAGTTTGACCCACGTTGTTGAAGTGGAAAGAGCTGCCAAACATAATGAGTAATTACTGCAGCACATCTGTATATGTTGTTTTTGTGCTCTGTGTAGGCTATCGCAAAGATCCCGTCTGCGTCAACCTGTCCCTGTTTTAAAAATACTAGGTGGCCTTACCCCTCATGTGAGACAGCCTGATCGTGGAGAGATAAGAAAACAGCCTTGAAATTGTTCATGTAAGCACCCAACCTTAAAGCCATAAAAAGTCCCTTGCTGTTTTGACCTCTACTTGAACTTTTTATTCTGTAAAATGTATATAAAGGAGAAATTGTCTGAACTCAGGGTCAGTCTGTAAGGACCTATTTCCTGAGACTGGCCATTGCCTGGTAATAAACTTTTTCTTATTTTACCAGCACTCCTGGTCTCTGAAAGGTCATTTCAACTCCTGATTTGCCACAACATTGTGACTTTGCTCTATAAATTGCCCCAAACAAAGGGCCTCAGTGGCAACCCATTTCGGGGACCCCCACCCCCACCCCGCCTCTCAGGAGCTATTCCTATGCCCCAATAATCCTTTACTACTCTTAACCTCCTTTGTCCTTTCTAATTCATTCTTCAGTTTCAGGGTACACAAACTCAGTATATCTGACATCTAACAGGTTGGAAATTATATTTTTCCCTATATTAGTAGCCCTCCATGGGGACCTTTACATTTATTTTTCTTTATAAAGTCATATGTTATTTACATATGTGTATACACTATTCACAAATGGAAAAACATGACAGCTGCTTTTAAATTTTACTGGATTTTTTCTGTCCTGCAAGGAAGCAGCTTGAACTTTGAAATGGGAAGCAATCCTCTAAGGCAACAATGTCTAATACATATAAAATGTGGGACTTGAGTGTGGCTTTTAATTTTTTAGTATTCACTTTAAAAATTAAAAGAAACAAATGATAATGAGGTAGAACGGGGCCTTTTTTGGCCACAGGAGAAAAGGTTCTTGGACCTTAATCCATAACCCATTTCCCACAGGTGGTGAAGATAGGATTTTTCCCTATCCTTCCTTGCCAATAAGGATTGTGATATGCACTTCCTTTATCTCCTTACTCTTACTGGAGGGCCAGGTGTTCTGCAAATGACAGGGTGATTCCCTGATGTCTCCAAGGAGGAGAACTTCCCCTCACCTCTTTCTTACAAAAGGAAGAAACCCCTTAAAACACAAGGAAGATGTTTCTTTAAAAGCCCATACCTATCACCTGTTGGAAAAATTACCAAGCCCTAGGGGCTCCAGGAACCCTATAAAGACTGTCCCTTTCCTTTAAGAGGCTAGCCTGATCTTGGTCAGCTCCATACTCCTTAGCTCCTTTCCTCCAGCTGAAGTCCTGGGTTTCTCTTGCCTCTCACTTGAGAGTTTTGCTTATGTCCTCATACTTCTTGGCTTTGAATTTCTTTTATCACAGGGTCTAAGGGCCCCGTGTACAGGATCAATAATTTAGCTCAATACATCCAAAATATTATCATGTGAACAATATACAATTATTAATGGGGGCCGGGATTTAGCTCCGTGGTTTCGCCACCTGCTGCGCAAGCGCAAGGACCCGAGTTCGATCTCTGGTACCAAAAATAAATAAATAAATAAAATTATTAATGAAGTACGTATACTTTTGGAACTAAATCTTCAAAACTCACTTTAAGCCTCCAGCATATCTCACTTCAAAGCAACCCCATTCTGCCTTTGAGAGCTATGACTGAAGTAGGATAAAAGAAATAAATATAGGTAGAAAGGAGACAAGAAAAATCATCAATTTTAAATATATTTTAAAAACTCCTGCAGCTCCAGAACCCTCTTCATTGTCAAAGGTTACATTTTTCCCCCTTCCAGGCTACTCACTCCTAAATTCCTAAGTCGTAGTAAATCCATTAGATTGAACCTGTGCCTTCCTCCTGTAAAGTGGGCCTTTCACCTGTAACTTGAGCACATGCTTTCTCTCTTTATTAAAGATTGATAAATTCCACAGATTTCTACCCCTTAAAACACATAAATATCCCCAGCCACAGACTATAAGGCACCTCATCCCTCAAGAGGCAGCACTCCTTTCTCAGTGTAAGTTCTGTTTAATAAGCTTGTCTAGGCCTCTCATACATCCTGAAATGCTTTGCTTTGATAGAAGTTGGTGAATCCACAACCTACTCTGTTGGTACAGTGAGTTAAGGTCTGGATCTCCTCTTTGAGGGACCTCCTCAGACCCCATCCCATGATATGACTTCCAGACCCTAGGGAGATGAGGGACCTGAGCCCCTCCTTTTTATCCTAGAGGTGAGGAAACATGATTTTCTACTGATATTCGTCCTCAACCCCAAGGAGGGGGAGAGGAAATGGCTGAAAAAGAGCAGGGAGCAGAACTTCCTGCCACCTGCAGGTGGGCTCAGGCCTATCCCCTTCCAGAGATGGGATGAGAAAGGAAGAGGGAACAATAAACAAAGGAGGAAAGAACCCCAAGTCTTCAGATCCATCCCCATCCCTGGCTTCTAATGTTTAAATAGATTAAAGGCAAACTTCCTATTTGGCACTTTGGCCTTGGGCCTAATGGTCAGGCTGTGGATGTCTGTTTCCCCTGTGATGTGTGTGGGGCAATTGCGAGTTAAAGCACCAATTATATTTGTATTTATGTCTGCATGTGCTTCTCTATAACTACACTATCTAACAAGACATCTAACTTTAAATCACAGGCAATGGAAGCAGTACCTCTAGGGCATCTATTGTTTGCCAGGTAACTTGCATTCAACATGCCATTGTACCCTGGCATCCTGCCTTGGAGAACAACCCACCTCAAAAGTGACTAGCTGAGGACTAGGCTGATCAGCAAATTAGGCCAAGCTCAGCCGGGGTCCTTCTGCTGTGCTATTGATATAGGGGGAACAGTTGCAACTTCAAAACCTATTAGATATCCAAAACGCGAGTTCGTGTTCTCTAAAATCAAAGAATGAATTCTAGGAACAACAGAGGTTAAGAGTAGGAACATTTTATTGAGAGAAAGAAAGCTTCTGTCTAAGAGAGACAGAAGGGGGACTGGAAAATGGGTTGCCCACCCACCCTGCTTTGCAAAGGCATTTTATTGAGCAAAGATATGAGGTGAGGCGGGTTCAAGATGGGGCAAAACTATAAAACCCAATGGAAAATTACAAGGTGGGCATGAGGTGGGACAAAACCATGACAATAGGATTACAAGTACAGTCACCCGGGTAATATTGATTAAATGGGGATTAAATGGGAAAACAAGTCACATACAAAGAATTTCCAGGAAGGAAATGGGCTAGGGAGATTGATGTCCATTTAGAATATCATTCACTGCTATTCAGCTCTAGAAAGAGTACCTCTTTTTTGGGGGGGTGGTACCAGGGAACGAACTCGGGTCCTTGCACTTGCAAGGCAGGCGCCGGAACCACTGAGCTAAATCCCTGGCCTACTTCTTTTCTTTTTTGTTTTTGGTACCAGGGATCAAACTCTGCACCTTGCACTTGTGAGGCAGGCAGCAGAAACACTGAGCTAAATCCCCGGCCCTTACCTCTTTTCTTTTTATGATGCTAATCAGCGATTGTGCCTGAATTATTTTTCTATGCTGAGGACCAGCTTTGTCTAATTGCCTTATAATGATTTCTAACTAATGTAGCTATCTGCAATACTGTCAGCTGGTTGACATGTTGGCAGCTTCAGGGACTGAACTGGCTGTCAACTAAGGCAACTTGATTCTCCTCCTGTGATATCTCATCCTCCAGGAGGCTAATATGAGCTTGTTTTCAGGGAGATGGCAGAGTTCTAAAAGAAAAGGCACTCAAGATCTTGTGAGCCTAGGTTTCAAATGAATACATCATCATAGTCATGGCTTTACATTTGCCACACCAAATAAAGTCCTTAAGTCCTTCTTGAACCCTAATAACTTGAGTATTTGCTCTTTTAATACTGTCCCTTACTGGACATGGTGGCACATGCCTATAATCCCAGCACTCAGGAGGCTAAAGCAAGCAGATCACTTTGAGTTTGAGGGCAGCTTGGGCTCCATAGTGAGTTCAAGGCGGCCTGAACTACACAGTGAGACCTGGTCTCAAAATACAAAAAAAATACTGTCCCAAAATTCCCATAAGCTTTCTTCATTCCTTTCCATTCTTTTTTATCTCCTCTGATCGTATTTTCAAACAGCTAATCTTTGAGACCACTAGTTCTTTTTTCTGTTTGGTCTATTCTGCTATGGATACCCTCTATCATGTTTTTAATTTTGCTTGGTGTATTTTTCAGATCATGAATTCCTTTTGAGTTTTTTCAAGTTGTTTCCATCTTTTTGTTAAATTTCTCTGTTAGAGTATTGAAACGCATGTGTGTGTTTCCTTCAAACTCGTTGAATTTACTTAAAACAGCTGTTTTAAAAGTTTTCCCGTACTGATTACTGTCTGATCAGTTTCTGATGACTTATTAGGTGGGCTCATGATTGGCTGAAATCTCTTGATGTTCACTGGCATGTGGTATTATCTGGGAATTAAAGGATTAGGTATTTATTCCATTCTTCCTAATCTGGCTCTGTGGCAGTCTTTCCAGAAATTCTAAGCAGCTGCTTCTTTCTTTGAGACTTCTTCTATTTCAGTACTAGGTGGCACCCAACTCCAGCTTTACCAGTAGTCGACTGTGGGTGTGCTGTCACTGTTTCAGTACTAGAGGACAATCCAAGTCCAGGTTTGCCCCGAAATACATTGTTGGTGTGTTGTTAAAAATGAACCAGGACATTGGGCCGGGGATTTAGCTCAGTGGTTCTGGCACCTGCCTCGCAAGCACAAGGTCCTGAGTTTGATCCCCAGTACCAAAAAAAAATGAACCAGGACATAAAAAATGAACTAGTGATAGTAGTCTGTCCTCACAAGGCTTCTGCTAGGACTGGTGTAGGCCCAGATGCCTTATCCACAGTGACTAGACTGTTAGCATTCTGCTTGGCTCTGGGCAGAATCACCATGAATGCATTAGCCCCAGTCTCCTATGTCATACCTGTGGCCAGCAAAGTCACCAGTCTGTGTCATGCTCTGAACCCAAAGCCC